CGGGCGCAGACTTGGGCTGACCTGTGGGGTGGGGGCAGGGCAGGAAGTCAGAGGTATGATGTCTTTCATGGTAGCCCCTGACCTCATTCTTGATGTGGGCACAAGTTCATGAGGACCCGTCAGAAACACCAGTTCAGGGAACACTGCATCCTCGGGTTTATGCCATAGAGGACAGTTTAGGGTGTTCCTCAAACAATTCACCATCTTCCTGAGTAACCCTGAGCCTGTACACCGGCTAGCACCTGTCCAGAGATCCCCTTGAAGCCCTGTGTTCCACACGGATGTCTGACTCTCGCCCTCTTGGCTTTGCCTCCTCTTGACTTTTTGTCATTGTCTGTCTGTTTGTGCCCAGAAGAGATGATATGAGCTTTCTGACCTCCTGCTGGGTCAGTCTGGGACATTTCTGGCCTGTCACCTCTGTGCTGGAAGCCTTAGGGTCTTTGCCCTAAAAAGTCTGTTTTTACCCAAATGTATCTCTCCTGGATCATTTCTAACAGGGCGGGATCCTTGCTGATCGAGCAGAGTCTGTCTGTGGGTCCTTGGTTCTGTCTCGTTATACAGTCTTTTGGCATCTCCCCTGGCAAATTGGTCATATCACTAGAGCTTTCATGCCATAGAATCTGTGTTCTTTTGTGCAAGGAAGTGTGGCCTGCGGAGACCCAGGAGCCACCTTGTCCTCACGCCCTGTCATTCAATGACCCTTCCTCCAGCATCTTCTCCCTCCCTTCTGTCCTCCCTTCCGCCAGGTTCCCTGAGTCTAGAGCGGCTGAGGACTCTGCACGACCGCCACACGGAGATCTGGGGGAGCCCCTCGACCCCGTCACCATTCTTGGCCCTGGATCCTGAGTCTCACAGGACCGGGGAGCTTCCCTGAACTTCTGACCTGTGTGTCCCCAGACTCTAGCCCCAAGGATTCTGGGTCCTTCTAAAGTCTCCTTGTGGTCATGCCTTCACTACTCCTAGTTCCCTCTTCTCCTTGAGATGGGCCCCCCAAGCGAACCCCAGAGACAAAGCTGGATGAACAAGAGCCCAAATGGGAGGACAGAACAGAACAAGTCTAGTACTCAGCATGACCCTGGCAGACAGGGAAGAGTCTCCATAGGTCACCCTGTCCATTTCTCTGCCTCAGGGGTCAGAGGTGACCGGTGGAGGCAAGCAGGACAGTAAGAGCAAGGAGGGGAAGAGGTCAGGGCCCCAGGGACTGGGATCCTGGCTGAAACCTTGGCCAAGAGCTGAAAGAAGACACAGAAAAAGAGCAAACACAGCAGAAAATCATCCAAACCTCTGAGAGAACAGGCAAGGAGGGGGAACAGGAGCGTCACCCAGGACGGTCAGCCGGGT